AGAACAGTAGGGGTTTTTAGGCTCTGCTCCATCTCAGTGGATAGCATCTGTTTTGAGGGTCATGTGTTCATAAGCCATTGTCTCATATAGTGAATACTTCACCAGCTCTGTACTGAAAGCAGAACTGTAATGACACCCTTACAAATTCTCCCCAAAGATCTGTAATGACTGTGATTATGTCTCTCAAAGAATTATGAGGGATGGTCATTTGAACCACTGATCATCATTTTATTAATCACTCTTCAATGGCATTGGGAAGTAAAACAATTCAGCAATGACTGATCTAAATTAGTGAGTAAATTCTAGCCTTAGGAATCATATTATGGGGAAAACTTTTCCTTTCCATTATCCTTAATTAATTAATTAATTAAAAGAACAGTAATTAATTCATTAATGGTGCTATGCTGACAATTACAGTCCAAGACTCAATACAATATTTTCAAATACTCACTCATGTAGAATCAGGCCAAAGGACCTGGGTGAAAACAGGGACACTAGAAGCTGGTTAAGATGATTGCACTGCCAAAGACACATCAGTGAGAACTTCTCGGGAAAACTAAGAGTCCATAGATAGAGATTTGAATGCAAACACCAGTTCTAAAGACATGAGACTCAGAAACTAAAAGAGAGAGGCCAAGAATTCCATCTGGATGGAAGCCAAAAATAACTGAGTGAAAGAAGGAGCAAGAGAAGAGAACCAGGAACAGTCATACACATGGCTTGCCTCTACAGCCCACCCAGGGTGGGATGGAGTTGAAATAAGGCTTTGATTGTACCTCCAGAAGTGTCTGAGTGATAATATGTAGACATTATTTTGAACTGTGATCAAGTCCATCAGTAACTTTGGGGAAAAGGCAGGTAACATATTCAGTATCTGAGAAGTCACTTATCTTTTATAAAGATCAGATAACTAAGCATGTTTACATCACTAATGAGGTGATATGACATATTTTCTCTTGGATATTCCTCCCCAAAACTCAGGATCCAAATCTAATGATAAGGAATAACTTCAAACAAATTCAAATTGAGGGACATTCTACAAAGTAACTGACTAATACCCCTCAAAGCTATCACAGCCATGAAAAACTAGAGTAGATAAAGACACTGTCAGAAACCAGAGGACGCTAGAATGCATTTGGTATCAAGGATTGAATTCAGGAAAAGAAAACAAGTATCAGTGAAAAAGCTGGTGAAACCTGAATAAAGTCTATATTTTAGTTAACTGTAATGTTGGAAAATATACCATGGGGATGTAAAATGGTCACATTAGGGGAAACTAAAATTGGGTAAAAGATTTAAGGGAACCCTCTGTACCAACTTTGAAGTATTTCTGTAAATCAAATAATTATTCCAAAATAAATGCTTTATTAAATAATGGAAGAAGAAACCAGACACTGCAGGCTCATCCTATAATCCTAGCTATTTGGGAGACTGAGATTAAGGTTTGTGGCCAGCCTAGGCAAAAAGGTCTCAAGATCCCATCTCAACCAATAGCTGGGAGTGATCATCTGAGATTGGGAGGATTGAGATCCAGGCCGGCATGGACACTATCTCAAAAATAACAAGAGCAATGAAGGCTGGAGGAAACATCACCTTTGGCCACAAAAGAAATGCAAATCAAAACAACATTGAGACTCCACCTGACCCAGTCAGAGTGGTTACCATCAATAGCACAAACACCAACAAATGCTGCTGAGGATGTGGGGAAAAGGAGCACTGTTAGTGGGAATGTAAATTACTGCAATCACTATGGGAAAACACTATGGAGGCTCCTCAAAAAACTGAAAATAGAACTGCAACCTGATCCTGTGACACCATTCCTGGACATATATCTGAAGAAATGTGCTCCAGGATAACATAAAGCCACTTGCCCAAGCGTGTTTTTTGCAGTGCTATTCACAATAGCCAAACTTTGAAACAGCCCAGATGCCCACAACTGATGAATGGATAAAGAAAATATGGTATATATATATACAATGAAGTTTTATTCAGCCACAAAGAAGAATGAATTATGTTCTTTGCAGGTAAATGAATGGAACTGGAGAACATATTAAATGAAGTAAACCAGGCTCAAAAAGTCAAAGGTCACATATATTCCCTCGTATGTGGAAGCTAGACATATAAGCTAAATGTACACAAAAATATGTGATCATATATATACTTATATATGTACACATACATATATATATTTAGAGAGAGAACAAAACTGTATTAGTGAGTCTGTCTGAGGGTACTACAGGAGGTGGTACAGGGAAAGAAAATCTTAGAGAATGAAAATACTGACATAACCCATCTATATAAATATAACATAATGTACTGTACTCTAAGCTGTTGAATATTAGAGGAGAATGGTGATAGAGAGTAAGTAACAGTGGAGGGGGTTAATTAGATAAAAGCATGATATATATATATATAGACCTGAAGTACCAAGGCAAAAATCCCTTGGACCATCAATATAAACTTAAAAAATGAAGTACAAGAAGGTAAAATAGGTCTTTTTAGGAAGTGAGTACCACTGGGAGGAGGTGGACATATGGAAAGGGTGAATGAGGGTGAATATGGTGGATGTATTTTCTGTCCATATATGAAAATAGAAGAATGAAACCTGTTGAAATGGTTGCAAGAAGGCAGCCAGGGTGGGGAGAGGGAGAATGATGGAAGGGGTGAATACCCAAATAAGATACATTGTATGCACATATGTAAATATCACAATGTAACTCCTGTACAACTATTATAGGCTAATAAAAGTTAAAAGAAGGACTGAATGCATAGATCAAGTGGTAGAGCACCTACCTACCAAGCAAGAAGCCCTGAGTTCAAACCCCAGTTCCACAAAAAAGAGAAAAAACAAACACAAAATAGGAATAAATATATTTTTGATAAAGATTAAGTGGACATTATCTTGGACATTGGACATTTGTTGAAATACTGCTGTTTGACGGCCACTCAAAATACCAGGTGAGCAATATATGATACAAGTCTGTGAGAAATGGCCCAATGGGGACACCAGAATTACCAGTGAAGGACACATGATCTAAAGTGAAGAAGACAGTGAGGAACCAGGGATTTGTCAACCTAGATTCCAGATTTGGACCTTCCTGCATTGCTTTTATGATCTTGGGCTAGGTACTTAATTACCCAGGAAATGAGTCTCCCTAAAATGAGAGAACTCTGAGGTGACTTATAATTCACTTAAAAATTTAAAACTCTGTGGTGTAGTAGAAATTTAAAGTTTTCTAAATAACTGCATATGCCATAAATAATCTTTCAGCTCTAAGGTACCTGTCCTCTCTCCCTACCATGCCAGCTCCTTTCGCCAGCTGCTCTTTTCCAGATTGTACCATTAGAGTGCACTAGAGGGAGACTGCAAAGATATAAGGGGAAGAAGGCCTCCTTCCTGTTTGCTTGCTGTGGACTTCCTCTCTGTTTGCTTTCTCTCTATTCACTCAAGCACTTAACCTCAGCAGCCTTGATTCCTTTCTAAAGCAGTAGTCAAATCCAGTTGCAGTTTTTCCAGTGCTAGAAGAACATATCTCACATCCTCCTCAGTCACAGCCCCTGTGCTCAGAGGCTGAACTCTGTCCCACAGACTCTCCTTGAAGCAGAGACACTGGCATCGTCAGACAACACACTCCTCAGTTACTTCTCCACAGGTCCTTCTTCCAAGCTTTGAATAGTTTTGACTCTAAGTTTTAATCATCCTAACATTCTCCCTTTATCTTCCCATCCCTAAAGGTGAAAGCTGCGTCCCACAAATGCCACATGTGTGATCATAGAGTTCTTTCTTTTTCAAATAATTACTTAACAATTGTCAAAAACAAAAATCACATCAAATTTTGTAAAATATTTAATTGGCTTTTATTTGTGGTTCTAGAATCAAGCAATACCTCATTGTGTAAAGCAGAATGAATACTTGGATGAGCTAAGCAGAAAGAGTTGGCTTTTTAGGAAGAAAGGGACTAGAAAAAAGCAGAATCCAAGACAAAGAGTGGATCTGTTGCTTCACAGTGACTTCCTTTATAGGGTTAAAACAGAGGGGACTTTCTTATTAAACTGACTCAGGTTGTTTGCAATCTCCCGAGATTTATTTGATAACTGGCACACTTAAATTTTTATTAGCATCTATTAGATTGTACAAAGTAAGGGGTTTCATTATGACATTTCCATACATGAATACAATGTACTTTGATCATGCTCATCCTATTACTTTTCTTGTTTTGTTTTGTGGTTTTTGCAGTACTTGGGATCAAACCCAGGGCCCCATGCATGTGAGGTAGACACTTGACTCCTGAGCTATATCCCCAGTCCCTCTATTACTCTTTCTTATCCCCAGTCCTTATTTCCCTTTTCCCATTTCAAATTTCAGTTTCAGTGCATGGCACTTAACACAGTGAATCTATTCTTGTTTGGTCTGTTCTGCTTGGACCAAGTGTAGGAGACTAGTCCAAAACAATGGCTCCATGAAAAATTGCTTAACACAGTTTTATATTTAGTTAAAAAATCATAATATCAAAACCTCTTTTCAAAAAAACTAGTGTGTTTTCTACCTCCTTACCGGACCTTGAAAATGGCAAATAATAAGCTGAAGAGATAGAAAATAAATCGGCAGAATAGTAAGGAGGACAAACCAGATGAAGTAAAAAGTAGTATTTATCTTTAAAGTAAGCTAGTCTACTTAAAATTGGAAAGAAGTAATGGTCAATAAACCACATACTAAGTTTAAAAACGAATTCTTTAACATTTACAGTTATTCTATTCTATATTGAGGTAAGACCACTAGTGACATAAACTAGCCACAACCATTAGTCTTCAAGTCTATTGTATCAGCATTAACAGAGGACATCACAAGTCACTCCAGAGAGAGAGAAAAAGGCAGGGCACATCACATATTAGTAGATATTAGTAGATATTGACATTCTGGCTAATTTAACTTTGCTTATATGAACATATCTGCCTGAAATACTTCTGTGCTTTGCCTCTTCATATATTCCTCAGTACATTTAAGAACTCTTATTATAATTCACAAGCTGAGTACACAGTCTTCTCATTGCCACTCTCATCTCTTTATTCCTAAAGGTATAGATGACTGGGTATAGAAAAGGAGTGAGAACTGCATCAAAAACGGCAAGGAATTTATCCAGATGGGAGGTGGGAAATGGCCATGTATAGAAAAAGATTAACAGCCCAAAGAACAAAACCACCACAGTGACATAAGCTGAGAGAGTGGAGAGGGCCTTACATAAACTGCCCAAAGATTTTTTTTTAACTGTCACCCAAATAAAGATGTAAGAGATGGTCAGAATTAAAAATGAAGCCACGGAAATAAATCCACTATTGGCAGTAACCACAAATTCCAGTGTGTAGGTTTCTATGCAAGCAAGATTTATAAATCGAGGAAGGTCACAAAATAAGCTGTCCAATTCATTAGGGCCACAGAAGGGTAAGTCTACAACAAAAGCTAGCTGAATCACTGAGTGAATCACACCAATAATCCAGGAAGCAATTAAAAACGAGACACACCTTTGTGGGCTCATGATGGTCTGGTAGTGGAGAGGCTTACATATGGCCACGTACCTGTCAAAGGACATGGCCATGAGCAGCACCATCTCGGTGCCCCCCACTGCATGAATAAAGAAGATCTGAACTACACAGCCTCCAAAAGAGATGCTTTTGTGTTTTCTGAAAAGGTCATAAATCATCTTCGGAGCTGTGGAGGAACGAAAAATCAAATTGATGTTGGAAAGGTTGGCTAGCAGGAAGTACATAGGAGACTGTAAATGGGGGTCTAAGATGACAGCACAATGAGGAAGTTTCCCATCAGACTGGACACATAGAACAAGCAGGAAAAGAGGAAGAGGAAAATCTGGATGGTCCACGAATTGGACAGTCCCAGGAACACAATCTCAGACACCACAGAGTGGTTGGCCCCATCCATTGCCTGTGTCAGAGAGAAAAGAAAAACTGATTTAGAACAAATAGCTCTGATCTTGGCAAAATCCCTGGCAAGTCAAGGTTGACAAAAGGCTGGATAAAGACTAAGTTATGCCTTCAGAGACAGTTTTAGTCATATAGCAACTCATAAAATTTTTCTGCTGTATATTTTACTGTCAAATATATAAAAGGTTAACTCACTGTATAGATACTTCTATTGCATTCAAAATATGGTTTTATAGTCACATCTCAATATGACTCAGCTAAAAAGCTGTTTGGATATTATGTGAAATACTTAAGTGACAATGGGTTTCATAGCTAGAATATTCCCCAGTTTATTGATGCCATATGCTGGATTATAGCCAAGTTCTTTCAAAATCCTTATATACATATAGTAGACCTGGAGATGTAAATATCTCTTATCTGTAAATGAAAACACAGGGTGAGTTATTTTAGGAGACAAAAAAAATGGAGCAGAAGATGCTGGGTCATGGTGCTCACCAAGTGTTCTAGAGAAATGGACACAACCATGGGTCTGTGGAGGAGATTCTGACAAGGGTTGGGGAGGAAAAAATGTGAGACAGTGAGTAAAAGAGACAGCTAGATAAAGAGTCATCCTAGATCCCATGTGAAGGAGAACAAGTAAGAGTGGATATACCAGAGAGTTCAGAAACGACTGTGTGTACTTATATATAAAGATGTTTAACCCCATTCATAATTAAGTAACTGCATACTAAAATAGCAAAAGACGAGCTTTTTAATCTTGTCAGTGTGGCAGATATATTTAAACATTTGATAAAACTCAGGGCTTAAAGAGGAAGAGGGGAAACAAACAGTCTTGTACCTGATGGTGGGAAAGAAAACTGACACTTGCCAATTTGGAAATATCTCCTGAAGTTTTATTGCTCATGTACATTGACTGACCTCTTCTACCGCTGGGAGGAAAACTGAATATACGTATGTATCTGTGAACAAAGTGGATGAAGAAATAACATTTTTGCCAAAGTATGGTTCATAAGAGTGATAACCAACAATAGCTTCAATATGTATACTAGGAAACTAGGTAAACAACTTATTTTAGAATCAAATATTCCCCTTCTAAGGAATACTATGCAGCCATTTATAATATTGAGGTAGATGTATTGTACTCAGGATATATAGAGGAGAATTTTGCACCTACTTATCCAATATGTTTAAAACTAAAATTAGACAAATAAATAATAGAAAATATTTAGGTTAACAATAATTATTTCTAGGAAGTGGGGTTGAAAAGCAAGGAAAGAAAAGAGAATTTCTCACTTTGTGGTCTTACTATCTTAAATTTTTGCAGTGAGCACATATCAGCTTCACTCTTATGATAGGGTAAATGTATGCAGGGTTGTAAAGTTATACAATTTGTGTTTTCAGAGCATTCAAATGTATAACCATAGCTTGTCTCCCAAATTGACAAGGATCAAACTCCTCCCAAAAGTAATCGCTAACCACATTACTCCTCCCCATCTGCCCCTCACCCATGAGCCAAAGTACTTTCTCTTCACTGACATGCTTCCAAATGGTACTCACTTTCCCCTCTCTCACACTTGGAAGTTTCAACTCAGGTCTTCTCTACAGGCTTCATCAGGCCTCCGGTGCCAGTGTCTCTAATTCTTCCCAGTCCCTCCAGCACCCACCTGGCAACAATCCTTCTTCCAGGAAGTCCTCTTTGATGCCTGCAGGGGATAAAATTTTCATACATTTTTTTAGCCAAACCCCAAACCCTAATCATAATAGAACAATTCAAATAGCTGTTTAACAAGGAATACTATCAAACTCTCTGTTATTGTAAGTAATGTCTCTCTGATGTGTCTTTAAATTCTCTTTTTTAAAAAAACATTTTTTCATGATGACAGCATAAGTGATAGTTACATTCATAAGGAGCAACCCAGCTTGGAATAAATTAAATTCCTTTTACAGTGATTATCTTAGCAACCACCCCACTGATTCAAATTATCCAAGAAAATGATTAAACTCTAAGTTGTTCTGTTAGAGCTGTAGGTTATTATGTCAAAGCTTTCACTTCTGGCTCAATTCTAAATCTTTACACAACATCTTGTTTTATCATTAAAGCATTTGTATTTTCTATCTATCAGGTTAGCAAAATTTAAAAGGTAAATCACTAGTCTTGGTAAAAATTTGGAAAACAGGCTTGTAAGCTCACAGTTACTGGTACACTTTCCTGCCACTCTGTGTTTTGTCTGTACCTAAAACTCAAGGTCTCTAGGTATTTGTCCTCACAAAATAACTACCATTTTTTCTTTATTCATTTATTTCTATGTGCATACATTGTTTGGGCCAATTCTCCCTTTGCCCCCGCCCCCTCTCTCTTCCTCCCACACCCCTTGCTTCCAGGCAGAACCTGATCTGCCCTTTTCTCCAATTTTGTTGAAGAGTAGATATAAGCAATAATAAGAAAAACAAAGCGATTTTGTTAGTTGAGATAAGGATAGCTATACAGAGAGATTCCTGGCATTGCTTCCATGAACAAGTATAATACAACCCAAATTGATTAATCTCTACTTGACCTATTTACCACTTCCTGGTCACCCCCAGAGCAATTAGGCAAGAAGAAGAAATAAAAGGAATACACATAGGTAATGAAACTGTCAAAATCTCCCTATTTGAAGATGACATGATGCTCTATCTTAAAGGCCCAAAAAACTCAACCCAAAAACTCCTAGACACCATAAACAGCTTAAGCAAGGTGGCAGAATACAAAATCAACTTACAAAAATTATTAGCTTTTCTATACAACAACAATCAACAAATTGAGAAAGAATATATGGAAACAATTCCATTTACAATAGCCTCAAAACATATCAAATACCTAGGAGTAAACTTAACAAAGGATGTGAATGACCTTACAAGGATAACTATAAACCCCTGAAAAAAGAGGTTGAGGACGACAAAAGAAAGTGGAAATATCTCCTGTGTGCATGGATTAGTAGAAACAACATAGTAAAAATAGCTATACTACCATTTTTAGAAATCACAGAATAATACTTTGAATTTGATCTTTCAGTGAAGTGTGAAGCTCTCTACTTACCTCATTAACATGAAGAAAAATGAGTTATTAGTGGTGACAAGACACTAAATCTATGTTGCCTTTGCAGTGTCCTGAATCCTATATTTGCTTAGCACAGAGCACCAACCTCTCCCCACACTCCCACCAAAAAATGTAAAAGGAGAAAGAGATCACAGAGACCTTCAGCTGACCAGCTGGAACTCTCCTCTGCCCAGGTCTTTCATCCTCATGCAAACCAAATAGTCAGGAAATGAATTACAAATCATGTGAGTTTACCACCAGTAATTCTAGCTGTTTTGAAAAAGTACTTCAATGTTTGAAGTCATTCAGATACTTGTCATCCTCTATTTTTCAAACTTTTCTTATGTTATTAACAAAGTTGAGTTAAAATCAGAATAAATGAATCATACTAAAATTTGCAAGAAAAGTTTTCAATCTGATCATCAGGTTATCCTCACTATAGTACATTTCTTTTCCTGTTATTGGTCCAGACTTTGCATCTTTTCTGTGGCCTATGGGACTGCAATTTACTAAAGCTATAAAAATAGCAGAAGAGAGGATTTTGACTGTTTCATGATAAAGAAATTATAAATGTTTAAGGTAATAGTTATGTTAATTATCCTGAGTTGTTCCCTTACACAACGTAGACTTGTATCTAAACATCTCATTGTAAGCCCATAAATGTTCACAATTACTGTGTATTCATTAAGAATTGTTAAAACCCCAAATGTATATCAAAGCTAGTTCCTTTAATGTCTAAAATTCTTCACATTTTCTCCAACTGGACAAATCTCCCACTCTATTCTTTGCTGGAGACTCCCATGCCAGACTTCTGTGCAAATGCTGCTGGTGTAATCTCCACAATACTGAACAGGGAGTCATGAATTGACCCCACTTATCTTCTGTTAGTCTGCTGCAATTTCCAATTGAATAATGAAGGTGATTTGTTTCTTCTTCTGGTTAAGTTAAATTCTCCCTCTAGTCTGTGTGTTTCCACTTGGAGTTCTGACCTCCATCAAAGACAGCTTCCACTCATCTTAGCTCCCTGGACTGATGTTGAAATTGTCACTGAGTTAGAAAACCACAAAACACAGAGCTCTTGCCTTTGAAATTTTATCCTTGCTTGGCATAAAAAGTCACGTGTGATTTCTCCATAGAGGGAACAGTATCTAATCAGCAGCCCTGAAAAGCTACTTAAATGCTGCTGTAGAATCCTGGGATTGAGATTCAGATCACATTTGGCCAAGGGAATTATTTGCAAGGACCACAGAAATTTTGCCACAGCAGCCAAATGAAAGAGTTGGCAATGGCTCACTTGAGGGACGAGAAGAGAGAGTAGGGATTTTGTGTCTGTGAAAAATTGCATAGCTGTAAATCTTTTTGCCTTCTTCTTTTTCTTATTTATGAGGGAAGATACTGCTTAAGAATGAAATATATAGTTTCTTTTTTATTAAATTAAAATTAATTTATTGTTCTGGGGGTACATTGTGGAATTTACAAAAATTCTTACAATATATCAAATATATCACAGTTGAATTCAACCCCTTCACCACTCTTCTTTATTCCCCTCTCCCCCTATTCCTGGAGTAGTTTCAACAGGTCTCATTTTCCATTTACATACATAAGCACACAGATTTTGTATCATATTCATCCTAATCCTCCCACTCGTTCAACCCCACGTATAGGACCTGTTCTGCCTTCCTGTTCTCTGATTTGTAAAAGAAAAATAAATGACATTTTAGTTTGTTTATGGTAGCTATACTGGAAGTTTCCTTGTGTTATGACCGTGTATTATAACCCAAATTGGTTCATCTCTTTCTCTCTTTATGCCTTAGTCCCTTTCTTACAGTGATTTCAGCAGGCTTAAAGGTTCTATATTCATTCTTGTATAGAAAGTACATCAACCATATTCACATTCTTAACTTCTTTCTTTTATCCTCCCT